AGCCCTTTTATTGCTATGTAGTCTTTTATGAAGTGTGTTCACATAATTTTCCTTTCTCATTGGTTTGTCATATTGTTGAGTTATAAACATAAATACACGAGACTTTCAGTTGTCAACAGTACTAAAATTTCAACAATGTGCCTTGTCACTCACTCTCCTTATTAGTAAAAATAAATTTTCAGCAATGATAACCCATAAATTCATATGATAAAGGAAGACTAGAGACTGTTCCCAAACAATAAATCAATTTAATTCCAGATGCCATCTTAGCTTGATTTATCTGGTACTCTAAAAGCATAGACCACATGCTATGTCATAAAATAAGTCTCAGCAATTCAAAAACTTTGAAATAATATCATGCATCATCTTTGATGAGAAATGGAATAAATGTGGAATTCAACATCTCAGGATTCTCTAGATCATATGGAAACAAATCGATACTGAACAACATGCTTTTGAATTAACAGTGGGTTATAATAGAAATCAGTGCAGCATATAAAAAAGTATAGGATATAACAAAAGCAGTGTTAAGGGTGAAGTTTATGGCAATCAATGCCTACGTGAAAAAAATGGAAAGATACCAAATAAAGAATCTATCAATGCAGCTCAAGGGCCTAGAAAAACAACAAATCAAACCCAAAATTAATAAGAAATGATTAAAATGAGAGAAGAAATAAATAAAAATGAAACCAAAAAACACCAAAGATAGGTGAAGAGCTGTATTTTTGAAAAAATGAACAGAATAGTATTTTTCATATGGGCAAAAGAGTGCTAGTATTTTTCATATGGGCCAAATATCTTTTAAAGCACAAAAAGAAAAAGAAGAGTATGTTCATGTTACAATATTTTATTTGATAGAGATTGAAATCCATAGTTGAGAATTTGGTGTAAAATATTCTATTACCTTTAAAACGAATACTAAAAGAATCCTAATATCTTTAATCAAGCCACTTTAGATAATAATCTTAAAGGAATTATCCAAGTATCTAAAGATATATAGACTACAGAGAATTTCTAACATCAGTTTACATGTGCTAAATTCTATAAAATGCAAAAATAAAGGAATTTAGTGAAAAATATTTAATTGTAATTACATAAAGTGAGAAGTAAAAATCAATGTATATAAAACTCATTCCTACTAGAAAAATTCTGACAAAGTATATCTAGACCTACATTTTGGGAAAATTCAGTGAACGATAACTTTGGAGTTATAAAAATTAAGATAGTTTAAAAATGTGTGATTTTAAAGTGTGTAAGATTAAGTTTATCCTAACAGAGTTCAGAGAGACTATACATTAATATGACCAGCAAAACTTACAGAATTTTGAGGGATCTGATGACATCACTGTGAAAGAAAGTCAAGCAAGAATGTCATAGTACAAGGATTTACTTAAACAAGGATATTAAGTAAACATATACCTGGCACTGTCGCTGTGGCACAACAGGTTAAGGCCCTGGTCTGCAGTGCTGGCATCCCATACTGTGCCAATTCAAGACCAAACTTTTCTACTTCCAATCTTTCTCGCTGTTAATGTGACTGGGGAAAGCAGTGAAGGATGGCCCAAGTCCTTGAGCTCTTGCACCCACATGGGAGAACTAGCAGAAGCTACTGGCTACTGGCTTTGGATAGGCTGAGCTCCAGGCATTGCAGCCATTTGGGGTGGGAACCAGTGGATGAAAGATATTTCTTACTCTGTCCCTGTCTCTGTCTCTGTTTCTGTCTCTCTCTGTCTGTCTCTATGTCTTTCTGTAACTCTTTCAAATAAATGAAATAAATCTTTAAACAAAAAACCTATATATATATATATATACACACATATATCAATAACTGCAATCACAAAACCAGAAAGGATGCTTACAATATAAAATATACCACTAACACTGTAGGTAAAAGTAAATAACTCAGTAAGAGTTCCAATAAAATCAATACCAAATATAAGGTAATTTGGTGAAAAAGAATCCATTTCAAACAATTTAAAAGTATTTGTAAATTGAGTGTCTTAAGTGATGAAGAGATAACTGTACTTTACCCAAAATATTATAGGAAAGGTACCAGTTTCTAGAAATATATGATGGAAAATTTCTCACATCAATGGCAAAATTCAGGAAAATGTAAATCGACATGTGGAACAGGAGAATACCATGGCAAACATTCTGAAAATTTGTATACAGAATTTACAGAACTATGAGCAATTTTGTCATACCACAAGCAAAAGGCTAAGCAAGATTGCCACAGCTCATATTATCACTATTGGCTTACTTGGATCTTAGTGAACTATACATGGTATAGCATTAGATGCAAAGGCAATGAAAAGACATGTACATGTCATGTAATAATGTATGCTGTGACTGATGTGAAAAGAAATGAATAATGGTATGAAAAGCAGATAAAGAACTTTGTTATTGTTCACGAACATCCAAAAAAGTAAAAAATATGTTATCTAGAAAGGGTGAATAATTACAGTAGGAGTAACAATGCCTGAGAAACTATATGTGACAGTTTCTAGAAGACTTATAGAAATTTGAGATAGTTTGTCTTCACAATTAAAGTTAAGCAATCTGGTAAAAGGTTAAGAGTACTAGGGTTGACCCGGACTAAGATATTACAAATATGAACTGCTGATAGCTATACTTTCAAAGAAAAATATAAAGACATAAAAAGTCATTCATCTGTTGTGAAAAACTAGTTATTACCATAAAAATGGATAATTTTTGGAAGAAACAATGACAAAATGAGTGAATACAGGCAAAGTGGATGAAAAGCAGATGATTACAATTACATTAAAAATGGAAAAGAAATTTCAGCAAACGCAACAAAGAGATCATAGCAGCTCTTACCAAGTTAGAGTAAGGATGCCTGAGGCAGTGTTGTGGTGCAGTGGATTTACCCACCATTTGATGACCTCATCTCATATCAGAGTGCCTGATTCAAGTCTCAATTATTCTCCACTGCTGACCCAGGGCCCTGCTTATGTACACCAGAGGAAGTAAGCAATGGCCTGTGTTCCAGTCAGGGACCTCCCTGTTACATTTAATGGAACCAAGTTCCTAACATTCAGCATGGTGGTATCTTGCATTTGTGGAGTCACTTTCCTGCCTGTGCATCACAGGACCAACGGAAATGTCAGGCTGACTCTGCAGGTGTTTCCATCTTGGCCTCCACTGCAGGACTTACTAGGGGGCATTTTCTCCCCAAGTGCTAACTTGTTTTGGTAAAGGAAGTTTAAAGTCACTGCATGTGTTCTAGAATAAAGCACATTTGAAAAAGAATTAGTCTTAACATATAACTTGTATACATGCTAAAATACAGGGCCTGAAGACAAAGCTACACTATTTTCACACTCATATTGAAATATGGCATTTATTAGAAGGTACAAATGGCATTTCTACCTCTAAAGCTGTTGGAGACACACTCAAACCTATACCTGTATTGATCAATACTCAATTTCATTTAGGTTTTTGTGTTCCTCTGATTAGGCCTTCTAGTTTTGCTTAATTGCACTTGCCCTTTTCTCTTCCTTTCCACTGGACTTTCCATTTATTTTTACTAATTTTTGTAACACACTACTTCTCACATAGAACATTCTGTTTGAACAATGAATATATTTGGCCATTATGTCTGACTTGCCATATACTTCACAAATACTCTTCAATTTGGGCTAGAAGGTGTCAAATTTATAGATTAATTTTAAGGAAAACTGATCAATGTGCAACAGTGAGTTGCCCCATTCATGGTTGGATATCTCTTTCCAATTACCCTCTTATCATCTTTTCCCAGTATTACAAATATGTTTTTTTATTTTATATATGTACATTACACACACACACACACACACACACATATATATATGCCATGTGCTGTATTTTCATAGACTAAAATCACTTTGATATTTTTTCTGCAACACTGAAGATTTTTTAAAACAAATATGCTTAAGCAGAGTGATTTTTAAAATCCTTTTTGAAAGAGTCACTCTTTACTGACTGTGCACCTCCATCCCTGATCTTGTGAGTAATGCTGTTTTGAGCCAGGTCAGCAAGTTAACCTGCACAGGTTTGCTAATAAGGGATTGTTGATGTTTCAAAAAATGTGAATTTTCCATAATTTTTCAAAGTTCCCTGACATATCAAAACATTATGTTGCATGCCTTGAATATACACAAATTTTGTCAATCGTATCCAACAATCTTGAAAAAAGAAACAAAAGGAACGAGACTCTCATATCAAGATATAAATTCAAAATAACTTAGTAGACTATGCTCAGGATTGGGAAGGTTTTTATGGAACAGAAAAATTTTTAAAATACTCATAAATTTGAGCAGACAATATTTCTATTCTGAAAGTCCAAATGCAGACATCAGTCTGTCAAGGGACAGTGTAAGGGCTAAGATGATAGCCAAGTGTCAAATTACAGGGCACTTGTGCCCCTCTAAAATCTGAACAAAAACCCCAAGTCAAACAGAACTTTTGTTTTTGCCTTGCCCACTCTAGGTGACTATGTTATTGGAAACAGAAAATGGAGAGACCCCTAGAAACAGCTGTGCTGAGAGACCAGCATCCTGGAAGAGACCCTGCTGCCCACATATTTAGAAAACTGTGGGGAATCAGGTCCTGGCAGGGAAGGAAGGAGGAGCCCAGGGCCGCACAAACTACAGCTCCCGTCCCACAGGCACCCCACACACGGAGCCCACATTCTCCCTAATGACCACCCCGTACCCACTGCACAGTCGGGGAGACGCGGGGCTGCTGCCACACAGCTGCCCAGGGAAGGCTCTGGGCTGAGAAGTCGCCGTGAGCAGGGAAGGGGCAGGGCGTCGGGGGTCCCGGGTGCCAGTCCAGACCCCGACCCCCGGGTCTGAGGGGACCAAGGGAAGCGCTGGGCCAGCAGCAATATGGCGCCACAGATTCGGAGACGAGCTCTGGGAGGCCCACGTCCTGCCAGCTTCTCAGCAGCTTCCACGGCTGCTTTACGCCTCTCCCAACACCTGGGCGCACACACTCACCACGTCGCGGTTTTCAGCTCCAGGTGTCCAGCGTCCCCCGGTGATGAAGGTGGAGGCCACGGAGCCCGACTTGCTTCGGGAGCCTAGCGCCTGCAGAGCTGTCTCCTAGCACCTCGCTCCTGCCCAGAACTGTAAGATGACTGTGACGTCAAGACCCCGCGTGATGACGTGACCTGGACATCGTCATGCCTGATTGGACAGCGTGCATGGCCGTGAGCACACACAGCCTCACAAAGGACGCAGCCAATCAACATCCTCCACGGCAATGGGCCCCTGACTTCAGGTTGTGCTGGGTGGGAGCAGCAGGAGGCGAGGCCTGGGTGCAGGTTGGACTCCACGTCCCCAGGCAGGAGGCCTCTCCCCTCTGCTCCTGCACCCGCCGGGTCCCTCCTGTGGCCCTGTCCTCCCTGATGGATCCCTGCTGGAGCTCTCGGTGCAGTAACTGCTTCAGTGAGTCACAGTTCTGTGCATCGGCCTCTGGGCTTTATTTTCTTCATATTGTGACTCATTTTCCTGTTGGGTCGTTTGTGTTACTTTTTAATATTGATCAGAAGATGCAGCGGCCATTGGAGGGTGAACCAACGGAAACAAAGGAAGACCTTTCTCTCTGTCTCTCTCTCTCACTGTCCACTCTGCCTGTCAAAAAAAAAATTGATCAGAAGAATGCTGAAAGACATCACATGATTGAATCATTTTTCCCTTTTTCTCCTGTCAGTATTTGCTTTCTACTCTGCCTATTGACCTTTAATATTTTCTATTTGTTTTTTGCTGGTGCATGGAAATCTAGTGGATTTCAAAAATATTGAGCTTTCCATCAATCTGGTTAAACCCATTAGCAGATGTATTTGTTTTTAGATTTTAGGGAATCTCTCTAATATTTGCAGTATGTTGACGTTTTATTTCTTAGAAATCTTTTCACCTTATTTTTTCTTTTTGCTCTCCCCTCCCCACACTGCTCCTCCAATAAGAATTTGGAGATAGTGGAGATGGCCTGGACAAGGCTTACTTTCAGGCAGGGAAAAAGCTGTCAATAATCCTGTATGTTCTGTTGTTTGTGGTAGGATCCTTTTTAAACAATCTTGATCAGAATAAGCTACTTTTTTACTATACTAATATGATAGCAGTTTTTTTTTTAAATTTCATGCTATTTTTTAAATACTTTCAACATTCATTCTAAATGGTCATGTGATTTTCTTCTTGAATTTTTTACTTACTTGGAAAACTTAAATGGATTGTTTAAAAATGTTAACTACCTCTTGCATTTTTTCTTACATTTTACTTGCTATTCATTATATTTTCATCTGATTTTATTTATTATAAAAATACTAAAGATATATGCATCTTTTTATGAATGAGAGGCTTATACTTAATTCATATTTCAAGTTCTGGTCAACTTGGATCATCAACAATGTAATGCTGGCTTTCCAAAAGAAATTTGGAAATATTCTCTGCTCTTTCATCTGTGAAACAGATGTATTTGGAATATTTTGTATTTCTTTTTTACGAGAGATGTATTTTTTGAAAGGAGGAGTTACTGAGAAGCAGAAGCAGAGAGAGAGAGAGAGAGAGAGAGAGAGAATCTCCATCTGCTGGTTTCTTCCCCAAATGGACACAAGGGGCCCGAGCTGGGCTGATCTGAAAACAGGAGGCAGGAGCTTTCTCCAGGTCCCCCACACTGGTGCAGGGACCCAAGCACTTGGGCCATCTTCCTCTGCTTTCTCAGACCATCAGCAGAGAGCTGGATCAGGAGTAGAGCAGCCAGGACTCAAATCAGCACTTTTATGGGATGCTGGCTCCACAGACAATAACTTTATCACCTATGCCACAGCACTGGCCCTAGAATAGTTTGTGTTTCTTTACAAAAGCTGTGCCTCTATAATTTTTTAATTGGTTGGTTGGTAGTTTTCATACTGTGATTCAATTTGCTTGTTTTAAGTAGGAGTGTCCCTATTTTATGTTATATTTGGTTTTGGGAATTTGAAGTCCAAAATATAGTAAATTTTAATCTCATCATATTTTTACTCCTAAGCATTTTACAATTTTTTTCTAGCATCTTGACAAGACTATATTCTCTGTAAAGCATTTTTTAATTCCCTGAAACTGGATATTAGTGTTAACTTTCTCTGTGTTTCCTTAATTAATTAATTTTTTTAAAAGATCTTTTTTTTTTGACAGGCAGAGTGGACAGTGAGAGAGAGAGACAGAGAGACAGAGAGAAAGGTCTTGCTTTGCCATTGGTTCACCCTCCAATTGCTGCCGCGGCCGCGCACCACGCTGATCCCATGGCAGGAGTCTGGTACTTATCCTGGTCTCCCATGGGGTGCAGTGCCCAAGCACTTGGGCCATCCTCCACTGCACTCCCTGGCCACAGCAGAGATCTTACCTGGAAGAGGGGCAACCAGGACAGAATCCAGCGCCCCGACCGGGACTAGAACCTGGTGTGCCAGCGCCGCAAGGCAGAGGATTAGCCTAGTGAGCCGCGGCATAATTTATTTTACTCATAGCAGATAAATTTTTTAACTTAAAAAACTATATCCTTCTTTAAGGTGATTTTTAAAAAGCTTTTAATATTATTGTATATATACACTGTAGAATAGTACTCAGTGATAAAAAATGAAATCCTATCTTGTACAGCAAAATGGATGCAACGGGAAACCATTACACTTGGTGAGATAAGCCAGCCCCAAACAGATGAACACCATACATTTTCCCTGATCTGTGGTAAGTAATAAAGCCTGTAAAATGTAATAAATCAAAGTGAAACTGACATGTTGAGCTTCAATGATTTTTATAGAAACCCTTTACTTAATAAATATAAATTTCACAAGTACAACTTTTGTATAATAGCGGTTCTTGTCCCCATACTTGCCCACCCAACCCCAAACCAGCCCACCTCCTACTCCATCTCCTATCCCATTCTTCATTAAGATTCATTACATTATTATATAATAATCATAAAGAAGAACAACTCTATACTAAGTAAAGATTTTAACAGTTTTCACCACACAGACATACTTACCCTTAGGGGCAAGTTAGAGGGAATGTGTGCACAACTTTATATCTCCTCTCTCCTTTATTCTCACTCTTATTTTTAATTGAGATGGATTTTCAATTGGATTTAAGCACGAGAATTATTCTGTGTTAAATAAAGAGTTCAACTAATAGTATTAAGTAGAAAAAGGAAATACTAAAAAGAATAAAATAGTAAGCTGCTCCTCAACAGTTAGGACAAAGGCTGATGAAATCATTGCTTCTCATAGTGTGAGTTTCACTTCACCAGGTTTCCTTTTAGGTGCTCAGTTATTTGTCACCAATTTGGGAGAACATATGATATTTGTCCCTTTGAGACTGGCTTATTTCACTCTGCATGATGTTTTCCACATTCCTCCATTTTGTTGAAAATGACAGGATTTCATTTCGTTTACTGCTGTGTAGTATTCTATAGAGTACATATCCCATAATTTCTTTATCCAGTCTTCTGTTGATGGGCATTTAAGTTGATTCCATGTCTTAGCTATTGTGAATTGAGCTGCAATAAACACTGAGGTGCAGATAGCTCTTTTATTGGCCAATTTAATTTCCCTTGGGTAAATTCTGAGGAGTGGGATGTCTGGGTCATGTTATAGGGCTATATTCAGAATCTGCATTACATCCAAAATGCCTTCCAAAGTGGCTTTGTCAATTTGTATTCCCACCAACAAAGGATTTGTGTGCCTTTTTTCCCACATCCTTGCCAGCATCTGTTATTTACTGATTTCTGTATGAATGCCATTCTAACCCAGGTGAGGTAAAACCTCATTGTGGTTTTGATTTACATTTCCCTGATGGCTAGTGATCCTGAACATTTTTTCATGTGTCTTTTGACCATTTGGATTCCTTCTTTTGAAAAATATCTGGTCAAGTCCTTGGCCCATCTCTTAAGTGGGTTGTTTGCTTTGTAGTGGTGGAGTTTCTTGATCTTTTTGTAGATTCTGGTTATTAATAATTTATCAGTTGTGTAATTTGCAAATATTTTTCCCATTCTGTCAGTTGCCTCTTCACTTTCCTGTTTCTTTTGAAGTACAGAAACTTCTCAATTTGATGTAACCCCAATAATTATTTCAGGTTTTGGCTGCCTGTGCCTTTGGGAATTTTTCCAAGAAGTCTTTGCCTGTGCCAATATAGTGCAGGGTTTCTCTGATATTCTCTAATAATTTGATGGTATCAGGTCATAGATTTAGATCTTTAATCCATGTTGAGGAGATTTTTGTGTAAGGTGTATGGTAGGGGTCTTGCTTCATGATTCTGTATATGGAAATCCAGTTTTCCCAGCACCATGTATTGAATAGACTTTCTTTGTGCCAGGAATTGGTTTTAGTTCTTTGATCAAATAGAAGTTGGTTGTAGATGTATGGATTGATTTCTGGTGTTTCTATTCTGTTCCATTGGTCTACCCATCTCTTTTTGTACCAGTATCACACTGTTTTAATTACAACTGCCCTGTAGTATGTCTTAAAATCTGGTATTGTGATGCCTCCAGCTTTCATTTCCTTATGCAAGATTGCTTTACCTATTCAAGGTCTCCTGTGTCTCCATATGAATTTCAGCTTCATTTTTTTCCAGATTTGAAAATAATGCCTTTGGTATTTTGATTGGTATTGCATTAAATCTGCAAATTGCTTTTGGAAAAATGAACATTTTGATGATATTGATTCTTCCAATTTATGAATATGGAAGATTTTCATTTTTTATATCTTCTTCAATTTCTTTAAGGTTTTGTAATTTTCATCATACAGATCTTTGATGTCCTTGGTTAAGTTTATTCCAAATATTTTATTTTTATGTAGCTATCATGAATGGGATTTATCTTAGAATTCTCAGCTATGGGATTGTCTGTGTACACAGAGGCTATTTTTTTGGTATTGACTTTACATCCTGCTACTTTACCAAACTCTTCTAAAACTTCCAATAGTCTCTTGGTGGAGTCTTTTGGATCCCTTATATATAGAAGAATGTCATCTCCACACAGGGCTAGTTTAACTTCTTCCTTCTCAATCTGAATCCCCTTAATTTCTGTTTCTTGCCTAATTGCTCTGGCTAAGCCTTCCGCTACTATATTGCATAGCAGTGGTAAGAGGGGGGCCTCCCTGTCTATTACCAGATCTCAGTGGGAATGCTTCCAACTTTTCCCCATTCACTATGATGCTGCCAGTGGGTTTGTCATGAATTGCCTTGATTGTGTTGAGGAATGTTTCTTCTATACCCGATTTATTAGAGCTTTCACCATGAAAGGGTGTTTTATTTTAGCAAGTTCTTTCTGTGTATCTATTGAGGTATCATATGGTTTTAGCTTAGCAGTTTGTTAATATGGGCACTGTATAATGATTAAGGGGTCAATTCAATAAGAAGATGTAACTATTATAAACGTATATGCACCTAATTACAAGGCACCAGGCTATTTTAAAGATATGTTAAGGAAATTAAAGGGCGACTCAGACCCCAATACAGTAGCACTGGGAGATTTCAATACTCCACTTTCAGCATTGGGCAGATCAACCAGACAGAAAATAAACAAGGTAACAGCAGATTTAATCAACAATATAGACCAAATGGATCTAACAAATATCTACAGAATTTTTCATCCTACACTTAA